AAATATGGTCACACAGAGGTTACAAACTCAACAAATGAATTTGGGAGGGACACAATTCAGTCCATAGCATCATCCTCCACATTTCTATAGCACTTGCTCCTTTCTTAGGATGGATGTATTGGAATCACTTGTTTTCTTACCTGGGCCTCATCAGACATGAGTTCTGTGGGGTCAGACTCTGTAACGATATTGCCATTGTATCCCTTGCACAGTAACTGGCGTTTAAGGGCCATGTGATCCATGCTGGTGGAATGAAGAAATGATACCAACTACCTATTCTGCTTCTTTACCAGGTCTTAACAGCAAATGCCATAACTAACAGGGATAGTTAGGCCTAAGCAGATACCTGGGGCTTCGTTGGAGATAAAAACATCAAAATAAACCTTATGCCAATTCAGCTACTGAATGTCATGGACTTCAGTCTCCTCCAAGGTCCTCATCAGAGTGGTAGGATGACATGTCAGTAAAGCTAAACACTGATCAACAGCCATTTCTGGGCCAGGAAGCAGGTGCTGAAGACCTGTTTAGGTGAGTTGCACACCCGCTGAATTTCTAAGTTCTTATTTCAAACAAGTTATTTAAGAATAGGGTACATAAACTTATACTCACTAAATAAGTGACCATTTGATATGGATAATATACTCAACAATCAGTTAAAATTAAGTATATATAAAAAAAGACACTGCAATCCAGCTTGTACAAAACTTTATTGTACTTTGAATAACAGGCAAGTACAAAATTTAGAGAATGATATGAATGAAATATCTCAAATTATATTTCTTACAAAAGCATTAAGTACAGTATAAAAGACTGTTTATAGTAATTTAAAGTCTACTAAAAATATCAAGACATAGTAGGAACCGAGGAGTTTCCATTCAACTACAGCATTTATTCCCATTAGCTTTGTTACAATGAAAGTTAACATATATGAACATACACAAGTAATAAGTGAAATGGAAAATGAAGGCATACAACAGACATTCCAATTACTCAGCAAGTATGAAGAAGAAAGTCTTTTTAGTATTTCTGAACTTCTGTTTTCTTTGAACACACTGAACAAGGACAATGAAATGTTTTTTCTAAAATGTTTCAATATTACATAATTTTGGCCATTCCCTGTGTCATCAATACTTTTTAGCTTAGCCATTCATCAAATTTGATAATTTGCACATGAAATAAGTAGCACACTAGTCTTATTCAGAGGTAATACTCAAAACATTGAATGCCCAGCAGTCCATCGCTCCATCCAATAGGCACAGACACTGGAGTAAATGATTGGGATAGCAATGAGGTCTGTCCAGCTGAATGTCAGCCCTGATCTTATTTCCAATTACCAGATACATGTTTTGGCTAATGTAGAAGCGTGAGTCATGAGATATGAAACATGAAATTTACACAGACATGAGATTGAAGTCAAATACTCAGCTACATGGAGGTGGAATGTGAAATATTTCACAGTGACTAAAATGGACTAACAGGAAATGGGGTTTTTCATGCTCAACTTTGATTAAAACCAATGGACTTACAAGAAACCCTGGAGATTTAGTTAACGCTACTAATTGAAAGGCTCCCAATTACTGAGGAGACTCTAAAATCAGTATGTGAGCTTTCATATATTTTTCCTTTAAGGAAAACAGTAATAACAAAAACACCGAGGTACTTGAGTTTCTTTTCAAGGGATTACTGTTGGTTATCTTCCTGAGATGCAAAAGACCACAAAAGAAAAGCACCATGCCTAGGTTGCTGAATGAGGCATCAGACACTAATAGTTTGGTCCTTTTCTAAATGGATCTCTTCCGACAATTACACTAAAACATAGTGATGGATCACAGATGCCAGGGGGGCCTTGTTGCCCCTGGATGCCAGGTTTTCCATGATCTCCATCTTTGCCAGGGAGACCTGGGTCACCTTGAGGACCTTCTTTGCTTATCCCAGGAGGGCCCTCTGGACCTAAGATGGGACATTAACAATGTTTTAACAGAGAAGTTCTGTTTTTGATGGCGATATAGCTGATTCTGTAAGATATTTAAACTGAAAAAAAAAAATTTCTTGAAAATTGTACCCATTTGCACTGATGTGAAAAAAGGAGGTATTTTCTTGCTAATTCTACATACCATCCACTTTGAAAAGGACCATCCAAAAGTAATCAGTAATTTTTGTAAAATTAAGCTAAGCTATATTACTGTAGGAATCGTGCTACTGATTAAGATATTGAACTAACATTCTAACATTTCAGTTTGTGGGTTCTAAAGTTATATCTTCCTTTCAGTATATTTTTTTGCCAATATTATTATAAATTAGCAGGTGATATATAGGTAAGTTAAAACTCTAATGAAGCCACTTTTGAGTCATGTTTGCAAATGACTATTACTGGTACACATATTTTTTTAGTTTGCACATTTAAATACAGGACATTAAAAAAAAAATGTCCTGACCATAGCATAATAGTGATCAGTACATGTAGGTGTTATAGCACTAATTTGTGAACCATAGACTAATTAGCATGCTCAAAGAAAGGAGAGTTAATTTAGGGTGGCCTTTTAAAATTGATGCCTCAAAACAACAAAAGCAAAATATTCAGGTTTGGAGATGGAGCAGAGCGCTTTGGGTCACTTCCTACTACTACTACTTCCTGTTACTAGTACTACTAATAAACATTTATTGAACACTTAACTATAATTGTAGATATTGCTCTATGAGAGTTACATAAACAGTGTTAAATTATTTGATTCATCCAAAATCCTCATGAGGTAATAGCATCCTCTAAAATAATAGCATACATTTATTGAAAATATAACCATGAATGTCATGTACTGCCCTAAAAGGACTACATGTTTTAACTCATTTAATCTTCCAACAATGTCATAATACAGAAAATATATCATCACCATTTTACAAATGAGGAAAACTGAGCAAGGCAAATTTAAATAGCACAGCTAGCAGACGGTGACTTAAGAGTCTTGGTTTCAAATTATTTGGCAGATTTATGACAATTTTCTTAAAGCAAAATGTGCAGCAACACTTATGAGCATATACCAACTCTTACCTGGTGGACCAGGGGGACCTTGCTCTCCAGGGTACCCAAACCCTTGGCTCCCCTTTGCCCCAGTTCTTCCTGGTAGGCCTGCAGTGTCAAAGATGGTAATAAGCGATTTTTTTCTGTAAAATCACTGCCTCCTAGATTATTTCTTTCAAAGCTGTTAATACACACATTGAAAGAAAAGCAAATCTTTTTAAAATAGCTTGCTACCTATTTATTATTACTAATGGAAAACAACATTTTTGAAGCCAAAATTTATAAAATTATTAGTGGTTTACAAATATTTAATGGGGACTAAATATTAAGAAAGAAAAATGGTCTGGCTTTATTAGCCCTTTCTGTTAATCATAATTTTTTTATTGCTTTGATGAAACATCTAAATTGTTCACATAATATTAAATTTATAGGGAAGAATTATCAATCAACTCTTCACATAACATTTAAAGGCAAAGAGAAGTAAGTTAGTTGTGGGCTATTAGGAAGTTTGGTTGCAAAACATAATTTTTTCAATAATTAAAAAACTGAATAATTTTTATAACAAAGTTATCAATGTCAAAACAAAGGAAGTGACATCTCTGATTTTCTATTTAAATATTTTATTAGTCTCAAGTAAAATTTCTAAGCACATTGTCAACATGTTCTAATTTGTGATTTCTCATGCTTCATAAGTTTCCCTTATCTCTCCCTGCTTAACAAATTATTTAAAGACTAAGGGATTTATAATTTTTTTCATCATGAAAACAAAGATGAACTCTTTCCTAACAAATGAATTTAGGGTGTGGATCCAAAGAGTATCTTTTTGTTGCTCATTTGCTTATGCACAAAAGTTAAGTACCTTTTAATCCTCGGGCACCTGGGCGTCCAGGAGCACCCATTAATCCAGGAACACCATCTCTCCCTGGCAAACCAGGAAATCCTCGGGGACCTTCTGGGCCTATAGGACCAGGTGGCCCAGGATTACCAGGGGTACCATGTTGCGCCTGGCAATGATCACAATTTTGAATTCTTCCACTCTGAAGTAAGACCGGTAGCTGGGCTTAAAAACAAACACCCCCCACCTTAAGTTAAATTGGTAATTGGCAGTTAACAATATCTCTAATAATTTTTTTTTAAAATTTACAGATGTGTATCCATTGGCGAATAATGTCACTCTAGGAATTTATATAAATATTCACTGTTCTGTACAATTTGATCATTTGCTTAAAATTGGGAAAAAAAGTGAAAGTACCCTCTGCTAAAAAATTGGCAAATTAAATTACAGACTTTCATATTTATGAATTATCATAATTATGTCAGAAAATTTATTTGAAATAATGATAAATTGCTTTATTGAAAAGATTACAAAAGAGTATTTCATCTTTATAAAACTCAACTAGAAAAAAACAGACAAGGGTTTATAAATGTTCTTTATTTTCTTTATCTTACTTATATCTTTCATAATTTCTACCAAAAAATGGTATTACATTTTTTTAAAAAGTTATTAAAAACTCTGTTTGAGACTTACCTCTTAATACATCAGTGCAAACTTGTCGAATAAACTGTTCTGAAAATTCTCTCCCCTGCATCAAATTATTAGGGGTTATAACATGTACATACCAAGTGAAAAGCAATGAAAATATGAAAACTATGAAAGAAAGTAGAATACATACAGGCTTCCCATCTAATCCTGGAGGTCCCTGAGGACCTGTTTCCCCACGTTGCCCCTGGGGACCCACAGGCCCCATCCGGCCATCCATCCCAGATTCTCCTTTTGGTCCAACGGCACCTCTGAGACCAGGTTCTCCCTTTTCACCTTTCTAAAAATAAAAGAAATCTTCAAAAGTTCTATTTAAATATTTCAGCAGGTATAATTGCATCTTAAAAGCCCTCAAGGATATGGATATGAACATACCTAAGTTATATTGAAAACAGCTGGGAAATACTGTTATTGATCAGGAAGGAAATTTCACATCACATTAAACTGTCATTATCCATCCATCCACCCATCTACTCAACCCTACAAATATCCACTATTTATTGAGTATAGTATGTAGGCAGTAGGTATAGTGCCAGAGATACAACAATGAACCAATAATATTGGCAGATACATAACATTTCATACCTAACTGAATGGATCTACATCTTCCATAAATCACTATTTAGGAACTACTAAAGAACATGAAAGACATTTTCTATTTGCAAGGTCAATTGCTAGATTTATATAATATTGAAAAATCCAAGCAATAAGAACTGAACAGAGGAAGCATAACACATGAAGAAACGTACCTCTCCTTTTGCACCATGATGACCTTGAGCTCCCTTTGAAAATTAACAGGAAAAAAAATTATAATAAATGTGCAAGCTACAATACTAGCAATGTGGCATTTACCACACATTTAATCAAAATTTAATCTTCAGTTTGGAAAATAGTGATAGCATTAGTGCTACAACTTCACATATAAGAGACCCTTTTTTGCCCTTTTTAAAGGATGTTAATAACTAGACAATATGTTAACTGGATAATATAAAAATGTTAATTTACAAAACTGTTTCATTCTTAAATGTGAATACTTCTATATGCTACAGGTCAAATATTGAGGCTAGAATGGGATTCTATCTGAATTCTATTTAAATTCTATGCTGAATTTAAAATGTTATTATTTTAATAAAAATGAAAATTCAAATCAGGTAAGATAAGGTGTATTTATTTTTTAATTTCGTGATTAAGAGGAGTATTCTATTTTCCAAATGTATGTTCTTAAAGTTAAATTTTGATTGAGTACTATGACAAAAGATGAGTTAAAGCAAAGATACCATTAAAAGTGATTAATAATGAAGAAAATACCTATTTGTCCTATGCCTAAGCCACTTACTGCAGGTATTCAGATATTAGAAAAGCTGTGTGATGTGCAATGTGGTATTTTCCCCAGTGATACAAACACTGAGGAGCCCACACATAAAATTCACTGATTATAATCACTGGATACATACATCTATCTGGCTCTATTAAATTACCGGCCACTCATCTCTTTCACATATTCATTCCAATGACATAGATAAGAACTTTCAGGAAAGGCATTAAATTTTTTTCTTTTTTGAATTCACTGTACACTCAAGTTCTAAAATCACCCAAGATCAGTTCAGGGATAGGGTATGGCTTTCACATACACAGGTACGATTTCATTACTGAACTTGAAAATTAAAAACTGGTGTTCTGCAATTCATTATAAAATTTACTATATAACATTTCACACAATTAATTTTGAGTTTGAGTATTTATTTTTATTTATTTCTAGGTTTCTTACACATGGATATCCAAATTAGACAAAAGGAAAGAAAATTTAGGTAAAATCAGGGTATGGCACAGAGAAAGGTGGATTCTCAAAATAAAATGTGAGCATAAAAACATTAACTTAATTTTCATATAAAAATCTATTAGTGAGCAAAACACTCTATAAGACCATACTTTAAATATTGAGGATTCTATAGAAATGAAGCAGTATTTTCTACTAGGCATAATCCTACAACCAGAGCCAGAGTAAGAGGAAAGATAAATTAGTAAGTTCTCAGGATGAGAACTGAATTAGAGCTGAAACTGAAAACAGCTGTCATCTGAAAACCCACTAAGATGATCTCATGAAAGAAACATTCAGTTGAACTCCATTCACAACAGAAAGGCCAAAAAATTACACACATGCAGCACCTAGAAGGATGATAGGTAACTAAGTCTTTGTTTGCTTAAAAAGTTTAAGTAGACTGACTATTCAGCTGCTGAAAAGCAACAACTGTTCTGGTCCCAGTTCCTGGAGGTGGGAAATGTGGGCTTTCAATAAATCTAGGGCAGAAACTTTCTAGGGAACTCAAATTCTGCCTTAGGGGTGAGTAAATGCAGATTTTTTTTTTTTTTTTTTTTTTGAGAAGTGAGAAAGAAACAAGTTAAGGGAAGCTTGGAGACAGTGTCATCTATAAGCCAGTGAGCTAGCTAAGTAGTGAGCAAAAATTCCAAAGGAAATATCCTTCTTCTTAGAGAGCTATTGTGAGTAACAATTTTTGTTGAAAAGCGTGAGCTGGGGAGGTTAAATGGATGAAGGTCCTCTTCTGAGAACAGCTGTTTATAGCTACTGTGTCATTAACATAGGGAAACTGAGCGGGTCAGTCTGTGTGGCCAGTGAGGGAACAGGACTGAGCTGGTAGTGTCATCAAATGGATTTGCGTCAAGTGGAGGAATGCTAAACTTAAAAGACGTTTTTTCATTGACCATAACAGGTAAACTGAATTCATTTCTTCACTTAGATACTTTTGCACTTACTGTTATCTTCTAAAGTCTCAACTCTTCTTAATATCTTGCACTCCCTTTCTACTCCACGTTACAGACAAACTTGCCACCATTTGCTTTCAAACACTCCCCCACACGGACTTTCAGATTCCCCAAGGGATGTGACACAGAGACCCTGTTCTTGGAAACATCACTATGCAATTTTATCTACCTATCTCCAAGACCTGTGTAATCACTTAAACTTCTTTCACCAAATGCAAGAGAGGTCCAGCCTGTGGAAGGACTCGTATGTACAGTTAGCCCTTTGAGTGCAGACCAAGTTGGAACTAAGCTGAACTGTAGGTCGTGCAGAAGCAAGCATGCTACATAAGTATTCATCACTTCTATGCTTTGTTTTGTTTTTTTTTGTCCAATTTGGCTTTGACTGAACTTACATGCCCACATGGTAATCTCACTGAAACACTACTTAATGAGGAGAGTTCAGCCAAGGAGGAAGCAAAACAGTCTTATTATGTATCTGTTCCACAGTCCCTCAAGATAGCATTTTAATAAGCCTCCGGCATACTGATTTCTGGCTCTGAATAAACTAGAAGAAAACAAGTACATTACTCCACTACATATGGTCTCAACTGCTCATATTTCAAGATGAAAATCAAGACTAAATAGTAGGTATGGAGATGCTGCCATTGTAAGGCTGCCTTTGGCCAATAAATACTCCAGAAAAATGCGTGGAATTGTCTACCTTCAGTCACTTACTTGGCCAGAGAAAAAGCACTGAAAAGCAATTCTTACAGCCACTAATAGTATAAGCATGGGAAAATAAAAATATAAAATGGACAATTAAAGCAAACCATTATACCGCCATCGCCTAACAATTTCATTATCATATGATTAGAATGTACATTACATCTATACTTCTCCCCACCCATTTTTATTTACAAATAACCTTCTCTCAGCATTGTCCCATTATATTATTCATTATTTCATTTTTCATCCAAGAAAAAGAAAATACCTGTTGCCCTGGAATCCCTTGTCTTCCATGTTCTCCCTTTTGACCCTTTAAAATTCAACAAATGTTATTAGTTAGTTGGTATATATAATGCAATCATATGTGCAGCACAAACCATGTATTACCCTGTAGTCTAGAAAAAATGTCACAAAAGCAGAAATGAAAATATTTAAAATGATGTTAGATATAGGGAACTAAGTCTCTCAGAGAAAAAATAAAGTGAGAGGGAAGTCAACCTAATCTTATAGTTAAAGTGGATATAGACGAGGAACAAACTTTTGGGGAACATGTAAATAATTTTAGATAGTTGAGAGTGTTCTGCTGAGTCCACATTAGCAGCATGAAAATAATTTTAAAATCCAATGGCTGTGGACATTTTATTAATTTCAATGACATAATTATGTTCAGTGTTGACAATACACATAAAGAAGCCCTCTTTTTAAAGGAATTTTTAAAAATTAAAAACATGCTGCAAAAACTATTTTCAATGAAGATATTTAAATCCAGACAAATGAGAAGAGAGAAAAATTAATAAGATATAAACACATTCATCCACTCAATAAATATTTTTGGATATCTATCATATATAAGACATTGTGCTAGACTCTGAAGCATTGCTTTATCCCAGGGTCAAACAAAATAATTAGCAGTTTCTAAAAAACATATGCCTAGATAATATAAGCAATTAAAAACCCAGTGACTACACTTTTAAATCACTCTTTCATAGTGATTTGTTCATTTACTCACATAAGTAAATGGCCAATATTTACTGAGAAGCACCTATTTTTCTGGCCCTTAATGACACCAAAACAAGATATCATTGCTGCCTTTAAACTACTTACTAGGTAGTGGGAAAGATAAGCAATTAAATCAAGAATGATAAAGATAAAAAAATAAAAAGGAATAATGAAAATACTGTCTGATAAATGTGCATTGTATAATTAAACATTTGGGATGGACACTCCTGGAACATCTGACAGACAGGGGTGGGAAATGACTCAACCTTGAGTGCAGCCTTCTGGGAAGAGCAGAGCTCACCGACTGGAGAAAAAATAGGAGGGTGTACCAGGAAGACAGACACAGGGCAAAGGCAAGTAATTCCTTTTGGCTAAAGCAATGGGCAATCGTGGATAATAGTGGGCAGGGTGTCAAGAGACAACAGTAAAGAACAACATTTAGTTAAACTAGGAGGCACTTTATGGGACAGACTTTATCTTTAAATATATGGGGCACCAGTTTAGAATTCCTAAGCAGAAATGTGATTTAGTTATTGCATGCTGGTGAAAGTGTGTTTGGGACAGGGGGGAGGGAATAGATTGGACTCAAATAGACCAGTTAGGAGGATATTACAGTTTTCCAGTATCACTAACAAGAAATAATTAGGGCAATGGGGCCAAGAGGAATTAGGGAAAAGAGGCCAAGTTCAAGAGACATTTATATGTAAAATTGGATGTGAAGAAAGAGGAAGAGATTGAGTTTTAAGATGATTTCCAAGACTTTTTTTCCTCCAGTGACTGTGTGGTCATGATAAAGAATCTATGAGAAGGAGAGGTTTATGGGGAAAGATGGCAACTTCTGATTTGGACAGTTGTGGTGCACATGAGACATCCAAAAGCAATACCAAGAAGGAAAATGGAATATGTGGGTCTAGAGCTCACAGACATTTACTTAAAATTTACCTCACTCCCAATTTCAAAAAAACTTAGCGGAATCGTAATAATAATCAAACATTTGAAGTATAAAAAGTCTGTGAAACAACAGTTAGACTATGTCATTAGCATATTTTGATTCTATTATTACCTCAATTTGAAGTTTACTTTCATGCTTCTAGAAATTCTGAAATTTTCAAAATTCTGTGAAATTTTGCAAAGTATTTTTCTTTTCACAGTACGCTTATTTTACATAGCAAAACTCAGCCACCATGACTGAACTTTGTTATCTTAAAAACATCGTTAAAGTGCTGTCTGGACACTAGATGTGTAACTTATAATTGAAAAAGTCCTACATTTCTAAAACTTAAAAAATTGAATGACAATAGATATAATTTATTCCAGATAAGTATGTCATTGATACCGCTAGTGGCATCCTACTCATGGGTCAGTGCTCAGTTAATGAAAAAACCCATTCCACAGCCACTTACATGGAGGTTAAACTATCCTTGACTCCCATAGTAGTAGTGGTTCTCCTTTCTGATTTGTTGCAAAGACAGCCCAAACCAAATATCCTTCTAAATCACCCTAGATTTCCTCAGCCTGATATAATTTTCTGTATAATTCTGCTTCTACATATTAGTTTGAATATGTTTTATATTTTATGTTAATAATTTATCAAATCTATTTGTGCCATATGCCATTTCAAATCCTTTTTGAAAAAAATACACACTGTAAATATATAAATAAATGGATATTAGAAGTATGTGATATAATTAATATCTTTATTTTGTTGAATTACTCAGTTCCCAAGTTTTCTACAATAATGAAGTGGTGAATAACCTTAGAGTTAGATTTGAGATCTGAGAAATTTAGTAGCAAAGGAGAAAACTGGGATTTAACAATCAGATATTGAAAGAGTAAGGAGCTATAAAAGCAATATAAGAATTAAAATGAACAAAGCCCTAATTTTTTATTGCCAAGTAGAAAAAAGAAAAACAGGCAGCAACATACCTGAATGCCTTTTTCACCTTGATTTCCTTTGTCCCCCTGCAAAAATGCATTTTTAAGTGTATCATAGTCTAGTATATTCTGTATCCTTCCAAATAAACTTGTTTTTCTTCAGCAAAGAAAAATAATCTCATGCAAATTCCACAAGTGCCTTATACACAGAAGCTGACTCCCAACACAATATTTGCCAAGAGAATAAACCCATATTATGTTAAAAGGAAGTTTTAAACTAACACTTTCCTGAGCTTGAACATTCAAAAGAAAATTCACTACTATTTCTATTTTACCAAGAAGAAAACATTTCTATATTGATCACAATCTGTGTTTAAACAAACAGGTAAGAGAGGACTTATTTTGACAAATGTTGTTTTGTGATATCAAATTGAAAATCGCCCATTCAGTTCACAGCAATCATAGATGTACAGGGAACAATGAAATAAAACATAATCCTGAAATGACATTTTAGAAAATACATGTTACAAAAATAAATTTTGTGGGGGGATGGGGGATTTATATACCATAATAATAGTAAGTTTCCTACAGTTTCTTAGCTAGAAGAGACATTAGAGATCAACTAGTTCAATGTCCTCATTTTTATAGATAATGAATCCACAGGAAAAGTAAGTCCTCGCCCTAAGTTGAACTTCGACACTGTTTTCAAGTTTCTATCTCACCATGCTATCTTAACATACAGAGTAGAGTTTTGTGTTTACAGCCAACAAAACACAGAATTTCTTTGAAATGGCAAGTGTTTGAACAAGGAAATTCTCTAGATCTAAACATATATTCACAGCAAATTTACTTAATATTCACTAACGGTCTAACACTTAATTGCTGCTGGGGTGGGGGGGTCATTGGACTGTCGGCAAGTGCTTCCTACTGCTCATCAAAACACAAAGGTCAGGCAGGGATCATAAGTTAGGGGCCACGTAGGGAATTCATGAGGGATAGAAAAATGAAATGGCAGAAAAACTGAAACAACAAAGGATATGCAGATTGAGACCTGAGTTTGTATTCTTTCCAGAATAAAAGCAAGTTTATTTGCTTTTAACCTGAAAGGTATATATTCACATTGGCATGGACTTCTTTGACAAATGGGCAGTCAGTGTTTCTTATAACCTCCTAACAAATAATAATATTTATCCACCTACAACTCAGGGTTCCTTAATGAGAGAAAGGGAGGGAGGGAGGGAGAGGGAGAGAGGGNCCACATTAATTTATATCAAGCTTTCCAAATACATGCACTCAAAGAGAGAGAGAGAGAGAGAGAGAGAGAGAGAGAGAGAGAGAGAGAGAGAGAGAACCTTAAAGTGTTGCTGCCTTACCTCACCAACATTTTATGAGTATTCATGATTTGTATTTTAAACCCCTTCAATTAATTTTAAATAAACTCCTATGTAACATAATTGTTTTAAAGATGGGAACTTCATGATCAAACATTCTGGTTACAATTTTTATGCATTCAGATTTTTGCCCCAGTTTCAGTTAGAGTGATATTCATATTTTGGTAGGAGTGTCTGATGTTGAGTATTTTTCCCAAAACAATCTAAATTTACAGGGCATTATATAACTGTATGTTTATATTTTCTGATCTGCGTGCCTCTTTCAAGGTCCTCAACTATGAGACAATACCCACACAGGGACATGAAAGACACCATAGCTATCAGCATGGGGTTAAGCATATTATACATAATACACCAAATATATAGATGCTTATTATTAAAAGTATAATTAGTCCTACTATGCTACTTTCCCTAAAGGAAAACTTACATGTTAATAACTTATTAAAAGTGAATTATATCTCCTAAACAACAAATACCTTTTTTCCTTGAATTCCAGGTAAGCCCAGGTAGCCTGGCTCTCCCGGGGGACCCACTGCTCCTTGTTCTCCCTGAGTAACACAGAAATTACGTCAATATCACAGACCTGCTGCTTATGAACACCACTACTGCTTTTATCTCTGTAGACATCTCAAATGTATAACTGATAGTTAATAAATGTATTGACCTTTAGCGCTATTACTACAGAAATAGTAAAGGATGAAAAGTTTACTGGAGTCCCAAGAAGGCTTTTTATATTTTTTCCTATAATTAAGAAGTTCTGATAGCATACCATATTCTTAAGTTTTATAAATATTTGGTATTTTGATTGTATTTTATAGCTTCAACAATAGAGTAAATAATAAAGTAGTGAAAATAAACACAGGTAATCTTTTGTATTTACTAGCCACCTTCTCTTCCTCCTTGAAACTGCTTTTTCTTGTACTGCCCATTAAACAACTTATTTTATTGTTATAAAACTGGTAAGTAAATAATAAAAATTACTGAAAATCTCATTACTCACTATTTTTATTTTGTTACATATTTTCTCTCTACCTCTCACAAACACACATACACAACTTAGTTACTAATATGTGCTATGTATGCATAGTTATATCTTTTGCTTCAGAATAGATTATGGTAAAGTTCTTTATGTCATATGTTTTTTAAGACACAATTTGTAATTACAAAATAGCATTCAACTGTATTGGTTTATTTTATTTAATAAATTTTCTATTATTAAACACTAGCTTAATAATTTTTATTTTATAAACAATATTGAGGTGAACATCCTTATACTTAAATTGTATGCATATTTATATTTTTCCTTTATATATTAATGGGATATTTTCTTAGAAGTAAATTATTCAGTACAAGGGATACCCATGAGTTATCGTAACTCAAATTCTCTACTCTCCACCATCTCATAGGGATTCTTCCCTTTCTTTTAAAAATCTTAAGGAAATTCTCAGGAAGTGTATAGTGATGATGTCTCAATAATATTTAGTTTAAAATTGTAAGACATGGGATATAATCCTAAACATGCTTCAGTTTTTTTTGTTTTGTTTTGCGTTTAACCATTAGTCCCAAACTCTGTCATATGAACTAAAGACTACTATCTTTTGTGTAAACTAAGTGTTGTTCTTTTTGGTCACTGTGCCCACTCTTGAGCTGCTATTACTCTAGATTTTTAAAGGCTGGAAGAGAATTGAAAATCTCATTGAAACAAACATAAACTATTTGGTTTGAAGGACATTGGGAAAGGCAGCCATCGGTCTCCACACTGAAAATAAAGTTCCATCAATCAGCAAACAAAGGAATGGCACCTCTTATGGAAGACACACACTTTTATTTTCAGCTATGTAAGACAGTGATATTTTCTGGACCAGAGAATGTGTTCATAGTAGCATACAAATTTCATCATTTCTATAAAAATCAAGTCAAAGCAGTCAAATCATAATTCATGCCTTTATTACCCGAACTATGACAAAATATCCAAAAAACAGAAATGAAATTGGCCCACATTGGCCATTTCCTTTCATGTACCTTAATTTTGTGATACAGGTAATCCTAATTTCAGGTTAACTTTTCTTAAGGGATACAAAATATTAATCTCATCAAATAATGAGGGGAATTTATAATTCTTTAAAAATATTTCCAAATGCATCAAATCACAATTACCTTGAGCCCAGAAGCCCCATGCATCCCATGAAGTCCAGGTTCACCTTTATTTCCCTGTCAATGCATCAAATTAAGAAAAAAAAAATCAGTCACAATTTTTCTGACATAGACATTTAAGGAAATATATTTTAAATAATTTTTATATTTTTAACTTTCCAATTGCTTGAACCTATATACATACTTTATATATATATATATATATATATATATATATATATATATATATGTAAAACTCTATACATTAAGCCTACTTAGTAAGAAAAACTCTTTTATGCAAAGAAGGAAGTCCACACATTTATAAAGCTCTCTAAAAGCATGTGTTAAATGCTTTTACTGGCCTCTTATACTGGCAGCTTCAAGTATAAGGGGAGAGATTCAAATCTTTAGGGACCAGAGAATTAGCTAGGTCTCCACACTGCCGAGACCAGAGCCATATATTTTAACAGTGTTCTCTGGGTTGAGAATATTCCTCTTTATTCTGTTTCACTTTCTCACTATGACTTACAAGCAGAATGTGACTGAAGAAAAGAAAATTAGCTTCAAATGTACAGTGGCTTTTTGAAGAAACAGGGATCAGAAAACATTAGTTTGTGCTCTTTTGCAGGATTCCAATGCAGTCTTTTCCAACAGAAACTTAGAGTAAGACCAAGTTGACAGAGCAAAGAATGTAAGACAGGAAAAGAGGACTGGATGCTGGCTACTAAGGAAACATTGTTAAAGGTAGTTCTGGTTTTCAAATACACATTGTTAACTGAAATCACAACCCAGTCATGGTCTGGAAAAAGCCCTAATGGGTCGGTGTTAGGAAGAAGCAGGCAATGACCACCCACAGCCAGGTTGGGTTCACTCACAAGGGAACCAACTTAATTTTCAGCTTTTGAGAAGTTTCTAGGATGCTCATATTAAGAAACACGTGAACCTAATATGAATGTAATTAAAGGATTTAGCGCCTAACAGCGTTGTTGAACCATAGAACAATGTTTCCTTAATATTTCTAACTTTATAAATGATGAAGCCGAAATTCAGAGGCGAGAATTGCCAAAAGTTGCATGACTTGATCATGGCTTGATCAGAGTTGCAGGAAATGATCCTAATATCATTTAAATAATATTTTTAAAAAGTAGAGTATGGTAAAATAGACTTATGATGATTCAACATTTTTAAAAGAGATATGATAATCTAAATTAGAAGTTTTCTAATGATCTACCACAGAGTTTCAGCCCTGCCCTATCGAATACAGATTTTTGTCTCACCCTACAACTTCTACCAATGAATGGAAAGCATAGTGCATAAACATATACTTGACAAAAGTGGCGGAAATAAGGTAATACAGAGGTCAGTGAACTATGGCCCATGGGTTAAATCCAGCCCAATGCACGTTTTTGTAAACAAAGTTGTAGAGGAACACAGGCACATTCCACACAGTTTATGTTTCTCCATGGTTGTTTCTACATTCAAATAGCAGAGTTGAGTAGTTGCAGTAGAGACAATACAACCCTCATAGACTAAAATATTTACTATCTGATCTTTTACAGAAAAAGCTTCCAACACTTGAGCTAATATAATGCATGAAAATAAGTTTAAAAGTTTCACTGAAAAGATTACATTAATAGGCATAGTTTTAAAAGCTTGAATCTATTTTTAACAAAATAAATACCCAGGTACAAGATAAGGGAAAGCAAACTTTAAAGTCATTCATGTAAAAATAAACAAACTGTCATTGGAAACAGCTGCTTGCCTTCCCAGCCAAATCAACAGAATTTACAAATGACACAAATACATTATTCAAAAATATTTTCCAGAAAATCCAGCAGATTTAATTTACCTTTAGCTCAGTATTAGCCAACAATGTGAAGTGGCTAATTTACAAACGATGATGAAATCTGAGGCTCTCAAGAATTCTCAAGAATTCAAGTATCCAGAACTCTATGGGAGAGTCCATTGTACTGCAGACACTAAAGGGGTATACAACTAAAAATGACCTTGAGAAATTATGGGGAATTCTACTCAGCAAGCCCAGTCACTCAAGAGTTTTATACCAACTCTGCACAACTGCAGCTACCAGGACCCACAATATTCTAAGGGTCCACAACTGTTCACCCCTGGTGAAAGGGCAGCTACTTTTCCCTAATCGTTGGGCTCCATGACATGTTATCCTGTCTCTCATTTAATACTTTAGAAATTAAATGTAGAATAGATTAATGTCTATTCCTCTGGGACAATGTCTAGCTGAATGCTTCCAAAACACCAATTCCATCACTTCCTTTTGGAACGCTGTTCTTGAATCTACTCATTAAATAGTTGAGAAAGTTTTCTAAGTCTAGCCAGAATGCATTTGATTTTCTAAAAATATAACAACAACAACAACAAAAGCAGTCCTCTTAGCACAGGATTCTACACATCTAGAAAATGGTCATACCATGGTATTCAAAGAATTTCAGTTCTACCATGAGAATACCTAACCTGACATTCTAAATATATTTGCCAAGCTTGCCTTACTTTTTAAAAATCTGACAGTGAAGATAATATGCTACCTTACCCACAGTCCTGAGGGAAGAAATGCTTAATAAAACCCACTACAAGGCATTTTACAAATATAAATTCCATATGCATTTCACTAAGTGTAAATACTAAGAACAGGACTGGGTAATTTGTACAAGTGTTAGTATTCAATCATAACTACTAATGCTCTAGATTGGTGGGTTTGACACCGAACTTCATAGAATTCTACATACTCCCCAGTACCCTCTGAGATGCCAATGAGGGTGAGGGAGCTAAGTAGTGAGAGATTCTAGGCCCTCCCCAGCTTAAACCAGAACTGCTTTACTTTAATCTGTCTTATATGCTTAGTTTTTGCCTAAGATATTATTCTTACAAGTGATTGTTCATAGAATTAAAAAAACATTCAAAATAAAATATAGTTAAAACTTTTACTGAAGCACATAAATGATCATTTTGCACAAAGTTCTCAATCTTACTAATTTCCTTATACTTACCTTCGATCCTGGTGTTCCAGGCTGACCTGGTGAGCCAATGCTTCCCATCAAACCCTATATTATTAAGTGGGAATTTAAAGAGTAATGTAAAAAAATATGTACTTTAAAATACTAAATTCATTTTGAAGTTACACATTCTCATAATAATTAATCCACTAAAATATAACACAATATTTGGGAAATTTCCTGATATACATTTAAATAATGGGTAATACAGAATCAACCGATGCAAGATAGCGTGAAGGCTAACAGAGCCCTTGTGATTCTGTTGCTCAAAGAATCTACAAATAACACAAACTACTGGAGAGCTAGTAAAAGACAAATGTAAAAAGAACTTTGTTTTTTTTCTACACTTTTTTTTTGTCATAACGGCTAAGAATTAGGTTTCTTCATAGATATTATCGTGATCAATATTACTTACAATTTCTATTTTTTTGACCAATATTTAGAAAGAGTTAGAACCAATACATTTTCTGAATAATCTCTCTTCAATTTATACAAAATGGCCATATTTTAACCATATAATTCAAAATAAGACAATCATAACTAATCTAGCATCAAGAACCTGATCTATTTTATTCTACTTTAAACACTCTTATATATACTAAAAACACTTTTTTTATTAAACATGGCAAAGAAAATATGATGATGAACAAAAAAAATAAAATAAAATAATATCATCAGAAAACATAATCTCAATATGGTCATATTGAAAATATCTTGTTATCACTATTATGCTTTACTGTCAATTCATTATAAAATGTAAAATGTTCTCATTCATAGTAAGTACAGTGTAAAATATATTAGGCATGTTAAATATAGATTTTCTTGAAGTTTGATACAGTTCTATTCAAAACCTTCATTTTCTAAAAGCTTACTTAGATAGTGGTAAATAATCAAGCTTAATTTATTATTTCAATGAACAAATAATTTGGTAGTGATGGTGTAGGTAGAGAAAGAGTATTCTATACAAGAATCTTCTTTTAAATTTCTCCAAAAGTTGAATTCAGATTTAATTGACAATATTTTGCCTATTGAATCTGACATGCAAAGTTTGGCAAATCTTTTACCAAGTACTGAGTAAAATAACTGCTTTTTTAACTTACATAATTATTTGTAAACTCATAAACTGTCAAACATGAAAGTGATTTCTTTTACTTAAATTAAAAGCTATTACAAGCAGCTTAATTCATATACTAAAATAAACATCATTTCTAGCAATAATCTTAGAAAACTTTTATGTAATCTTGCACACACATGACAAAACTGTCATAATTTCTAATATCAAACTCATATGTCTCTTCCATTCCAAAACTTCCAAAATAATTTGTTCACTAATTTAAGATCTTCCTGTATTACTTCTTCTGAATGTATTCAGCATAATTTGTGCAATATATTTGTAATTTCTTTAAAAAATGGAAAAATAACATTAATTGAGTTTTAGACTTTTTCATGGTACTTAGTATTTTTTTAGGGAACAGCTAGAATATTTGTTTTCTGGTTTATCGACAGTAAGGGATATTGATCTCTATTTGGGTGGTCAACTTTTTGAGAACCAGAAGAAATCTACAATGTTCTGGAAAACTGGACATAAACATAATCTTTTTCTTACAAATGGATGGAATTTGTGGACGCCCAAAAGCTCATTGCTGGGTCTCATCCAGTTTTGTGAACTTCGGAATAAAAACTCCTAGCACATAGTAAAAATATTTCAAACACTCTGATAATAATGACATTAACATACTGGTATCCCCGGAGCTCCTTTTTTTCCTAGTGGTCCTGGAGGCCCAATTTCTCCCTAAAAATCAAATACACATCCCATTTAAAATCAGAAATTATCAATTTATTTCCAGGAATTCCCCACCAAAGCACTACGGAATAAAAATTCAGTATCAGCCAGCCCAATTTGTCTTTCTTCCCTTCTCTACTGTAAGAAAGGAGGAAGGCAAGGCTGAAAATTCAGGAAGCTAACACCTTAAAGACTTGGGCCTAGGGTCTTGGAATTACTAAGTCTTATATTTTCCTTAGGAAATCAGGTGTGACACTTGCTATTCTTTTAAAGGAAGACTACCAGTTCACAAAGAGTTGATAAAATGAGACAAAAGAAGGGAAAAAAAAGAGAAAAGTTTCTTATTATAGGTTAGGAACTATAATAGCAAACACAAACTAATTTTAAAAATTAGGGTACAGAATAATAGCATTTAGATTTCAGCTTTGGAGACTGTGATTGGTTAGGGGCTCCTAGAGAGTCTCTGAATCCAGAACCAAAACCCCTGGAAATAACTTTGTGAGAAAGTGCTGGTCTTATAAGTAGGGGAGGTCTTCAAAGATCCCTCATTCAAATAAAACATATGCTGGGTTGGGCTGTAATTATAATGAACTGGAACAGAAATCTTGCCAGAGGGAGAAATTCAGGGGTTAGAGGGTTGAATAAAGACAAATCATATCTAGATACATCATAGTGATTTTTAAAAACACTGAAAACAAATAGGACACCTTAAAAGAATCCCAAAGGGAGAGACTGCTTACAAAAGAATGGTAATTTGAATCAAAGCAGATTTTACATAGTTAACAACAAAAGTCGGGAGATGACAGAAGAAAATCCTTAATGTGTTAAGAAAAAATAATTGTCAACCTTGAGTTATATGCCCTACAAAATTATCTCTCAAAAACAAAAGTAAAGCTATTTGAAATTAAATAAAAACTGAAAGTTTATTACCAAGATAGCTGTACTAAAGGAACTTCTAAAGATATAGTTCAGGGAGCATTAAAACTACTCTAAAAGGAGGGTTTAAGAGCACAAGATAGAAAAGTAACCAAGTAAAATAGAAAGAATGTATATAAATCTAAATTAATATTATCCGTATAAAACAACAAAAACTAATTTGTAAGTTCAAAATAATAGTTTCTGAAATTACACTATATTTGAACAATTAACTGTCACCACAAATGTGCTAAACAGGTATTCTACGTGAAGATGCATCACCACTTTGCCCTTTTAATAAGCAGATCCAAGCTCAAATCTTTCAGCTTTTGTTAAGACTTACCTTTTGTCCCATTAAGCCTTGGTTTCCAGGAAATCCTGGGATTCCCTAAAAAGAAATAAACATTATTAATTAAAATATTTGTTCACTGTAACCTTAGAAAGAATAGGTAATAATTGGATTTTTAATTTGTAAATAATGCATAATTTCAAACATATAATCCATTTAGAGTTAACACTGCTACTTATAATAATCTAGTTTGGAAAAGAGAAAATGTATGACAATCAATATTATATGACCATCTATTGATATTTAAAGTTTTAAATAAAGGCTTTCAAAAAGAGAAGCTGAGGATGTTAACGTTGTTCTTCTTTCAGACCAACATAGGTGACAAAATAAGGATATTATGAATAATGCAAATAAAAACCATCAATTCAGAATTCAGAGCCAGTACAATTCCAAGGGCCCTCATAGTATCACAATTGTAATTAAAAACCAATGAGTCAACAATTTATTGAATCAATAATTTACTCCAAACTGAGCCTTGAATCACCCCAGAACATAACTTCTTGAGTAAAATATGGTAATCTTTCTCCTAATGATTCCCCTGCTGATAAAATCATGAAGAATATGCAGACCACAGTTTGTGGTGAGAGAAGCAGAAAAATAGAAAACTCTTTCACATGGCTCAACCAAAACGTACAAGTTCTCTAGCAAGATTCAGAGGAAATTAATGTGAATTGTATAAATCTGAGAATAATTTTGCATATTTATTAATGAGAAAGCAATTCTATTCTCAGCCATTCAATGCATTTACCCAAATGATAATTTATTGCCCAAAACAAACAGTGATAGTATTAATCAATTTTCATTTCTTATTCATTTTTCTTAGCTCCTTTCTTGCTGAAACTTCAGATAAAATAATTAACATTTGCCTTTGTGTGTGTCCAGGAGCTGGCAGGAAAAGGGATTTGAAAGACAGGAAATTGGTCCCCAACAGTATTTCTTTGAAAGCTCTCTCCATTATCAGGGCTTTCAAAGAATAGCAGTACTCTCTTCAGTAAACCAGGGCAGGTAGTAGAGACACCACTGTCAATGAGATCAAATATCTTCTATCACAGGAAGAGATTGCCATTATTTTGACTTTCACATCTTGACTTTATTAATACAATACTACTCAATGTGGTAGCCACAATTACAGTGCAAGCCATGAGCACATGGTTCCAGTTTAAAAATCCACTTGAATAGTAAATTGCAATTCAATTTGATTCTGTTGGCTCAATTCAGTTTGCCAGGGCAAAAGTTGCATGTGAGCAGAGACTATCAACAGGAGCTTGCAATCTAGTTGAAAACACAAGCATTTATGAACATGCTTACTAGATAATAATATACAATATAAAAATTTTAAGTAACATTTTAAAGCATAAGCACTGGATACCCTATCAGCACTCTAAAACATAAAGCAAAAGTAAACTGATTGAGTTTTGAGTATACAGAAGATAGAATGATATGACTTGTATCCTCATAAGCAAAAAATGCATATTCTCAATGGACTCAGTAAGATCAGTATTGTTCACAACAAAGTCTCCATTTCAATGACCACTGTTTAGTATGAAACCACCCATAATCAAATCCCATTCAAGCACACACACACTGATAAACGCACTATAGGTTCAGATCAAGTTGCAAATGTAAATTAAATCTTTCTGTAAAATCTTATCAAGGTGGCCATACACTGTTCTATGCTGAAAGTGATACATTCGTGTGGGTGCAGTGTCCCTTGGCCCCAAGAATCCCTAATGGGGTCATGCAATTGCCTTTGATACTATCAGACTTGAAAAGCTAAAATTTTCGCTTCACAGAGTCCTTTATTACTTAGGGTTTCATCACTATTCAAGTCTGTATGCCCTTACATAATCTATAATCTTAGTAGGAATTTTTTCAGATATCCTGAATCTACTCCTGTTTCTTTTCTTTTTTTTCTTTTTTAAGTATATACAATTTTATTTATCAATAATATCTCAAAAAGATAGGGGAAAGAATAAACCTTTTCACAAAAGTGAAGTTCAACTCATTTTAGATGAGATTTAAAAAAACCCTATATCTAATGCCAACATCAGAGTCAATAAGGCTATATATTCATTCTGGGAAATAAACAGAATTATACTGAGGCACCCCTGAGCAGGCCCCTGACTTTCACCTCCTAGAAATCCTTGAGAGCCCCCACTTTCACTCCCTGGATCTGATGTGACACCCTACTATCTGAGTAATTCTAAGACTGCTCTTGGTCTGTGTGATGACATAGCCACAAATCTTACATTATTTCAACATATCAGATATTGAGAGTATTTGAGGGAGATTTCAGATTAGGAAAAAAAAGTTCTTTTTCTTACTTTCTTCTTAAATTAGTAAACAATAAAATACATTTCATAGATTTGAAAAGAAATGATAATATCTTCTATGTCCACTTATACCAAGAATTATTACTTATTTATAAATAACAAAAAATATATAAAACTACATAATATTAAATACAAAATGTAAAACTAATTTATAAAATCAATTCTTGACAAAACTAAAACCACAAGGATGCATGGAATAAAAGACTGTTGAGAGAGAAGTTAACCAGAAGAACTGAAATCATTCAGAGCTATATTAGTTAATAAAATTCTCCTAGATAACATATTCTTGGGCTCCCAATACATTTATTAAAATTGACTAAACTTTGCCAATTTTACATTAGCAGAAATATAATTCAAAAGAATTTAAAAGTTACCAGTTTGTTGATCAAAAGTATTTAGTAACAATTACTTCATAGAGTAAATGTTTTTCCAAGCAAACTTTTTCATATTTCACTTTCAGCTTATGTGGTTTTGTGTTCAGGCAACTGTGAAATGTATAAGACAGAAACAAGTATTTTATTTAGTCAGGTTAAAGGGACATATTTCCTCCAGTTCTGTGATTTTTAGTTTGGGTTTGAGTAAGAGCAGAAAACCAACTGGAAAATCCTGCATAATGTTGTAAAGGAAAATGTTGCCATGAAAAAAATGTTCTAGAAGCTTCTCTGTAACGTTTAAACCATTGCTGTGTAACAAAAAATTCATTAAAAATAGACATATATAATTTAGAATAAAGTGTTTGGTCCCTATGTCCTAGAGACCACTTTATAATGAAGGAAATATGTCCATGACACATTACTTAGAAAAGACAAAATATCACTTTATACTTTCCCACATGCAATGAATGCATTTACCTCATCACTGAAATCAGAGTATCTTGAATCAAATCTGCTTTTATTTATTTATTTTTAGAAATCTGCTGTTAAGTAATGCGATATTTTCAATGTACTAAACACAGATATAACCCATTAACGGCATTTTTAAGTCAAAATTTTCAATGTAGTGGTAGAGATGCTTAATATTATAGTTATCAAAATATTAGAAGCGTATTATATTTTCTATTATATCAAGAAGTTATTTGTTCATTCCCAAAGATTCAATTAAAAACTCATGTGGGAAGTATTATTCTTAATAGCTACAAAGATTACAATGATTATTTAAAAAAAAATAGAAGAAGAGTCAAGTAGTTAAAAGTTTAGATTCTGGAGTCAGCAATTCCATTATGAAGTAGCTAACTGATTCCAGGCCAGTTATTTAAACTGAAATCTCAGTATCACCATTTTAGACATGGAGAAAATAATAAAATCTACCTCACTGAGTTCGTACATTATACCAATTCACTCTCACAAGTGTTTAGCTCAGTGTTAGCACTATAGTGAATAGATTTTCACGACTGTCTTTTCATACCTCCTCCCTGACCTTTGAAAGTTGCAAAACAGATGAAGTCAATTCTCTTCCAAGTCTCAAAATTAGTCCTTTTTCTCCATTTTGAGGATGTCTTTTTTTTGTCTTTACACCTTGTCTTTTTCTGTCATCATTTTCAAAAGTTTCCATTGTATCCAGGATGGCTCCGGCAAACTAAGGCTTCCCACTAGGGGGTGCAAACATGTTGGCATTGCCCCCTCATTCATTACCTTTGCCTTTTAATGTTTGGCTTACTCTGATTATACAAAAATACTCTAATAACTTTTGCTTGTTGAACATTTTAAATATATTTTATTACTACTTTTTTCGGAAAAAGAATGATCAAAACTTTCAAATATATTTGCAGTTACCCCACAATATTTTTCAATCCATTTTTCTTTTAATTACACAATGACAGGTCATTATGAATGATGTACAAAAGATTACTCTGTGGTAAGATAACTCTAGAGAGAAGTAAGTCATAATCATAGCTTCCAGACTTAAAAAAAAATTATATATATATATATATATANTATATATATATATATATACACACACACACACACACACACACACACACACACACACACAAGTACTTGCAATAAACCCTTAATAAGGAAATTACCAGTTACTCTGCCTCCTTTAATGCTTAAATGCATTTTTACTACTCTCTTTAATCTTCAAGGGAAAGAACAGTAATCTAATGAACACTGAATGAATTTATTCTCCCTAGCCTACAAACCAGGATCCATATGGGACTGGGCCCAAATAATCCAGTGATAAATAATTTCAATAGAAAATGCTTTGGTAAATATTTTTGGGGTACTAATATTTAGATACAACAGAAAATGTTACCAGATTGACATAATGAGTTACAGAAAGAGACAAGGAATATCACAGGAAGAAAAGCTATCTTGGAGCCCTTTGCAAAGTTGCTTCATGTTACTGATATTTCTCACCTTAACCTAAGGGCATTTATGCATCTTTTAAAAGCCAGAACACATTCTACATGATTTGCAAACCTATCATTTTTCAGGACAAAATGACAAATATTTAGCGAATTAAAATTACATACCTGAAAACCCAGAGGAGGTAGAGAAGGACAGGAGTAAGAGACCCAGGGACACTCTCTGCACTGCTACATCATTGGAAAGTCATATAACTGCCCTGAACCCCAAATCCAGGAAAACCCACCCCTTTATATCAGCAAGTAAAGTGAAATGACATGTGTGAAACACATTAACGAAGTAAAAGGAACATTTACATGTAGATATATGTAAAACTAAAAATCAATTCCATTTGAAA